TAAAAAATAAAAAAGTTCACAGATCTGATTTATAGCAGACACAAATCCATTAATGGAGGTAATTAACAACAGAATGTGTCTTGAAATTCTCATGGCAGTGAAGATGTCTAAGTTATTATACCTTATGGACTTTTACGTAGAAACCAATATTTTATGGGAACATACCTTCTCTATCTTCATGGTACGCCCGGAATATTTAAACACCACCTTCCCTGAAACGTTATCTACCTAAACGTCCACAAGGCGTTACAACCCATAAGACAAACAACGATAACAATACGAATAATATCTTAGTATATCAATTGGTGGAGAGGTAAGGATGTGGAAGGAGAGAGAGCTATAGCCTACTCCGATTGAATAAAATGAGTTATCGCATAATGAGGGTTTCGTAATTTAAAAACCGACTGCAGTGTAATAGCCTAGAGCATAATTTCTAATTTCCTCCGCTCGCAACATTTTCGGTATCAGAAATTATAAATATCAGTCCCAAATTAAAACTCACAGAGGGTAAAAAAATTGCGTAATCAGTGCGGTTCTCGTATGATATACAAAATAAAAGCCCCAAAGAAATCTTATATTGAAAACACTTTTCTGGAGCTTACAAATAATAAATTAATCTTTCGTCTTTACTTATTACAAATTATCATAATATTGGTAATAATGTCAGAGAACCGAAATCTTACGGGATATTTGGCACCAAGCGTAATGCAGTGGCAAATTTGAATACTACATAATTCGACTCTGAGCTACACTGAATAGAAACTTCCTCATAAACTAATCGAGGAAATTTCATTGGACCATGTCGAGCTGTTGCAAATCCTGTCCTGGCATGCTGTTTAAAATATCAGCGTCGAGGATTTCAGAGGCAGAGTCGAGTTGTTAATAAGCGGGAACAAGCCTTGGGGTTAGGTTAGTCTCCAACGCCTTACCTTTGAGCATAAACCCTGTCGTGTTATCCACGTATAATGGAATTTGTTGTGAATAGAACGTCAGCTATTTTGGTGGGACAATCTCGGAAGCTCGGATGACGCTTTCGATGATGGACACTTTATTACAGGTGTTGTTACACTAATCATGTTCTTGAGATAAATTAATTTTTATGCAAATGTCAATACTGTATGGGCTGAAACTTGTCAAGGATCAATGTACAGTATTCGGGATGAATCTGTGCGTTCCACGTCCGTTAAAAGTAAATGTCAAGAGTTGTGGGATAAGGAAACATTTACTATCCACACAAAAAACATTACTTCCCAACGGCAGTATTTTGTAGCTGGCTGTCTCAGATCCCGTGATAGTAATGTCTTTAGTTTACGTAGTATATGCGGTTTTTCGTTCTACCGCAAGCTAATGACGTAAGATAAACGCACATTTTGGTCCCAGTTACTACAACTTTTATTCAAGACACTTTTCTCTACGATGAATATTTAGCGAGGTGTAGAAAAGGCCTTAGTATTTAGGTTCTAAAGTGATACGAAATCTTTAACCGAATTAAAGTTAATTAAACTTACTATAACACTCGTTACATATCATGTCATATATAAAATTTATCGAATTTTGTCAAATAAAACAGATTTCATATCCAAAAGAATGTCTCCCTCTGTACTTGTTGACGAAGAAATTTTCGATTTTAAGGCAGATGACGGATGAGTCCAAAATAAATAAATTAACAATATAACAAAATCGAAAAAAGACGTTCTGTGTATAACCGAAAGTAATATTTTACCTTATAAGCGAAACATGGTCATATTTCTGGAATTTAACGTTCTTAACAAACGTTCGTAATGAGACAAGATTACACGAGGAAAATTTTGAAAATATTTGGTTAAAATGAAACTAAAATTACTGATTTCGGAATTGTACGAGAATATTTTTGATACGATACGAAATGTTACCCCTTGACTGCGATATTTTTACACTACGGTCAAAATATATATCTTAAATTATGATTTGTATTTAACAGCTGTAATAGAGAAGAAACATTCTGTTCGAATGCATGCAGGTCTAGTGCAGACTTGGATTCAACCACAAAGTAATATCAACACATATCCTAGTCGGTCCACTGGGGGTTGGTTGCTGAAGACTGAAGTCGAACTGAAGGGGCGGATTGCTGAACGAATCTGGTGATGACATCTGCCTTTTTTTACTCCTATAGAGTTATGAATATGCCAATGAATACTGATTCTATATGAAGATAGGGAACGTTCTGTCTGTATTGATTATCGAAGTGATGTATTGAATTAAAATCGTGAATGTAAATATAAACTGCTTTACAAGGGAGGTCATATAACAAGAATGACCCCATCACAATCCCGACAGTAAATCCTGACGATCATATTCAATTATACCGCTGTTATTGTAATATCAAATTCCGGTTTACATTTTGTCCCGTGAGGATGTTTCATTTTTATGACAATTACATTTTTCCTTTCTTTCAATTATTATTAAATTTAAATAGATTAAATCTAACATGTCTTCTGAGTTGTGACGTCATGTGCATTTGTAGGTTAGTATTGTAATAATCGGAACAAAAATTGTCAGTGGAACCAAGGTTCCGGAGAATTTGACGTAAATACGTCTTTATGGAAAGGAAGTTTATATATTGGCTTTATTCTAAATAAGTATATATTAAATTTTGTCCATCTAATCACTATAATTCTTATTAAATATTAAAATATTACAATAATTAACATTTAAAATATTTAAAATATTAAATGATGTTCTTTATCGAAATATTCTAAATATTTCCTTTATAAATGTTTTACATTTGAGATAAGTTTGATTAAGAATTTGGTTATTTAACTTGAATTAGTTACGCTTAAGATGGGTCTGTGGTAGATGAATGTAATGTAAAGTAATGTAATGTAATGTAACGTTTCCTAGGTAACAACAATGCCGAGTAAACACGACGTTCCCTAGGTACACTTGTTACCGGATCTTACATATGACGTTTCCCTTTTTCGTTACACTTTTTTGCCGAATGACCCTTCCTTATAGACGTATTTACGTCAAAATAATGACATACGCTATAACAGTTGTATTTATCCAAGAAATTACAGATGGAAACAAAGGATGGTTTAAGAATTTAATTTTTCAAACATGGGGTACAGTTGCTAAAGGAGAAATTACTTGAACTTTCTAATAACATATGTCAATGTCTTCAAATACCAAAGGACAGGGAAACACGTTTGGTTATCAGAATACACAAAAAATGACCTAAAAACGAAAGCAATAATTTTAGATGTATTACATTACTATCAACTGCTTCCAAATTGTATGCAAACATACTTAGAAATAAATTGAATTCATTCATTAGTGGAAGAACAATGCGGTTTTACGGCAGGAAGAAGCACTATGGATGTTATATTTACACTTCTACATATTATCCAAAAAAAAAAAAAGTTTAAAGTTCTCCAGAATTTATATTATTCATTGGCTACGAGAAAGCATGTGACAGTTTGAATCGTGGCATGTTTTAAATGAAGAAATCATAGTTAAAATTAATAAGAGCATCACAAAGGCTATATACAAATTTAAAAAATTGTTTTAATTATTTAAATGGACGAACCTCAGAACCCATAATTACCAATAAACGGGTAAGGCAAGGATGTGGACTACCCCATCTTTATTTATTATATTTATTGGTAGAATAGTTAAAGAATGGAAACAAGCTATAAGTAAAGGAATTCAGTTAACAAGGATTAAAGTAATTAAGACAATAATGAATGCAGATGATAAAGAATTAATAACAAAATCTGAAAAAAAGTTCAATTTGCAGCATACCAGCTAACAAAAATTTCGCACAAATATAATATGAAAATTTCTACTTTAAAATCCAAAACAATGGAAATATGAAGAAAAAATATGACACTAAAAATATAAACAGAAGGGAAAATAACAGAGCAAGTTTCTGATTTTACATACGTGGTAAATACTTTTTCAGACCACAAAAATGATATAGACTTAATTTTACAGAAATATAATAAATTTATTGGTTTTAATTTGGTAAACAAATGACAGTTGATACGAAATTGTATTTATATAATAATAATCCATGGCGTAACAGCCCTCTGAGAGCCGAAGCCGACTTCACATGTCTAAGCAGAGGTGAACGATCATTCAACCAGAAATAGGGTGACGTGTGGTCAGCACGACGAACCCCCAGCCATTGCTAGTTTGTATTTAAACAGCATTACCTCAAAATCAGCACTCACTTACGGCAGTTAAATATGGCGTGTTCTGCTACGGGTCTTATGGGAAAACCACGCAAGATTTTTCAATCACGAGCCGTGAGCGAACAAACACGTCAACCCGCAATTATCGAGTTTAAATATCACGAACAGTATTTACTAAAGGGAAATTCGATAGTGTCTTACAAATCCATCTTCTGGAACTCAGGTGCAATTTTCAGGGTTAGTTAATCAGATCCTTATCCAGAAACAGAATTTGCCTTAGCGCCATTCTTCCCTAGTGCTTACTATCAGAACTACAGAGAACATCTTTGCCGGGATTCGAAGAAAGGAACCATATTTCTCTCGCCCAGGGGTGATGCGGTCAACAGCGCCCGGGCACCTCAAAAATCATCTTTAAAATTAATCAAGTATAATAAAAACCTGGCATTTCTAAGGGCAAATAAAATTGCAAATTTTTCTTAGTGCCTACTCTCGTTATTTTTAAATTTATTTCCTTCTTATAGAGAACACATTTAATATTAATTATTGACCTTTTATATGTAGTAGGGAATAAGCAAATTATAACAGAGTAATTCGCTTTGTAATTTCTTCAACTACCAACAATGTTGTTACCTAGGAAACGTCATCTGTTTACTCGGCATTGTTGTTACCTAGGAAACGTTACATTACATTACATTTTAGTGTCAAGTGTTTTAACCCCCCCTGGAGGGGTGGTCAAGTTTCCTAGGTAACAACAATGCCGAGTAAACATTGTTACGTCATAGTTTTCGTCCCCTTTGTTTATTAGGTTATGTTGCTATCAACAATCAGCTTTCCTTACTGTGTAAAGAACAGAGCTGAGAATCACTTGTGGAGGAAGTGCGTCGTAGATAAGACAATTTTGTGCTGTTGCGGAATACTGCCCTAAACTTTCTGAATTTTGTTATAAATTCGATTGTTTATTGCCAGTGGACATCAAATTCTCTTACCTTGAACGAAGAGATAGGTAAGGACATTTTCTTATTTTACTATTATTATTTTATTAACATATTTACATGTGTTCATTGATACTAATGAACAATTGCAAGAAAATGAACACAATTTCAAAGAATGTTAGACTGACTTTGGTTATTTACTGCAAAAATTGATTGCGGTTGAATATTCAATTAAACAATTAGAAATTCGAATGTTTAAGACGACGAGGCATCTTTAGTTGCCGAAATTCTTGATAAAACAGAGCCTGGTGGTAAATATTTGTACCACCTGCTTTCACAATTAATAAACCTTCTTTGTGTATTTGTGGGTTTCTTAAGTTTCTCAAGGTAAACAGCGATAATTTTCTTAAACAGAATTAACCGGTCGATTTTGCAATGGTAAGGTGCAGTGTTTTCTTTGCGGTACGAACTGAATTCTTAAATAGCATTCAGACGATCTTCGGCTTCAGATGGTTAATAAACGGGGCACATATCGAGAAAAATAATTCGAAATGCTATCATTTCTTGATACATCAGCTTTGTTAAAGCTTCTTTGCCAGTTGTGAAGAATTTGTTTTATTTTTATTTTTATTTTGCGTGCGTGGGTCGAACCTATAAATGCAGTAGAATTGCCTCTGTAAAGTGAAAAGCACTCCATGTTCTTTACTGAAGAAACAATAATTGTTGCGTCATACTTTCTCTGATATTGTTGTGTTTCATTGTTATTTATTGACGCCAACAATCGCCATTTGTTACTGCGGAAACAAATGAGCAGGGAATCGCTTGTGGAAGAAGTGCGTCGTAGACAAGATATTCTGTGTAATTGAAAAGCTTTGAAAACAATCCAATATACACATTTCATAGGAATTATTCAGACATTTTGTTATCATCGGTTTTTAAGATTTAATCTGTGGATACACTGCAAAAAATATATAAATGTATGAGCTGGCTTAGCTCAGTCAGTATAGTGACTGTCCATGGACTGGACGACAGGGGTTCGATACCAGAGAGTCGAAGAGGAATTTTCCTCTAAGACTCTGCGTCCAGACCGGCTCTGGGGCCCACCCAGCCTCCTATCTAATAGGTACCAGGGTCCTTTCGCGGGGTTAAAGTGCGGCCGGTACGTGATACTGACCACTCGCCCCCATCTAGTGCTGAGGTCAAGGCCGAGTAAGAGCTATACCTCCCCCCAAACACCGACATGGCGCAGAGTGAGATTGCTTTCCCTATATATGTATATTTTTTATTTATTTAGTGTTCTGTCTGACGACAGGTCCATATGAACAGGATCCTTCCATCCTTTTCTCGGACTGGGACCTGTTCATATACGTTCTTGGCAGATGATCCAGAAGGGGTTTGCCATTGCCTTCTTCTGTGTGTATGGAGTATGGAGTAATTGTTGGGATGCCACGAAG